CAAACTTTTCATTACGCGGTGTACCTTTGACCGTGAAGCTTACCCGTTTTGCTGTAAATCACTTGCGCAATAAAAAGATATATACACCATATCGCATTACACTATACCAGAACAACCTAAATGTCTTGTTTGGATACTACGAGCCTAAAAAAGCATTTGCAATAAACTAAGGAGTAAAGACTGTTATGACTTGCTGAATACTTGACGACATAAGGACAATTTGACTGTTATTAAATAGGCCTAAGAGACCACAAAAGACGATTGATTGGTAATCGTAGAAATTAAAAACTGGTTAATTTTTAAGAATTCACACTGGTCGTACGGCCAACAATAGCGGCAGCATCACTAGCTGTCGCCGAAAACGACACACACACAGCTCAGATGAATGCCAAAGCAACTCACCGCGATTGCTGTACACGACCGCTCGATTTACCCTAGCACACGACTCACCGTTCCTCTTCTTTTTCCAGGCGGAACGTGTCCAGATAGTCTGGAGGCACGTCCGAGAATTGTACGCTGGGCGCATGCACCAGCTGTTTCAGATGATCGTGTACAGTGAGTCGAAGTGCTTCCAAATACTAGTCAGTGAACAAAAGTCGGCGAGTTCGATTGACAAACGATTATTCAGTTGTACAAGCCCGGGGTGAACAATGCGCATGAAATGAAGTAAGGATGAGAGAGAGAGGAGAGGATCACTGAGCGATACGATAATGCACCGGTGAGCATGCGGTCGTGAAGCTCGAGACATATCCAACAAAACAAAGATATACGGAGAGCGCACGTCGGCAAAACATTGCAATAAAAGAACGGATACAAGCAGAACATGGCTACTTCACGAGCACTGATGATGTTATCTCGGCTGGTTTTGAAACGTTTGCAAGCAAATTGCCAAGCTCAGCGAACAGGAGAAATAGAATACCTTAAAGATGGTTGATTCAAGCCTGTCACGTGAGGTGATTTTTTCGCCTGATGTATAGAGTTACTAATACGCGGAAAGATTTGTGTTCAACGTGGTCACATCACACACACACACACACACACACACATATATATATATATATCCCTGAAATCAAGCATAGCGAATTTGTACACAAACCATGGAAAAGAAACTGAGCGAAAATAAATTACAGAGCACAAGAAATAAAACACGATTTGCTATCTGTTTGGTTATTTTGTCAACTCCTCACTGCTTTAAAAAGAATAAAACAATCGTACAATCGTCGTACACCCTTCGGCAGATTTCGAACACGCAATCAGACTTCCGGTTAACTTAGGACTGATCTCCAGTCAGCGGCATCGGTGTGACTCCAGGAGTGTCAAGTCTTTCGCATTATCATTCAGAGGCCTGCTGCACGAAGTGAATTAGGTGGCCACAGTATCACGGATGGACTGATTGAAACAACACCACCCACACTTCATCAGCACCATTGATCCTTCGACAAAGCGAGTCCTGAATTAGCTTCACAGACCCCGTTTATTGCTATTCTCCTTTAAACCAATCGGGATCCGATAATTCTGTGTTCATCAGGTTTACTGACTCCTGGCCCCAAAGTGGCTTTATGCATGAGTGACTTGAATACATATTCAGTGTGCGGTAGGATAATAACTGCGTCGAACCACATGAACAGAGAGAGAGAATTGCGCGGTGGTAGGCAGGCCTCCTGATTAACATTACACATTAGTCTAACTAATTGTTTTTATAATCACAGCATGCCCACGCTGTTAAACTGAAAAACAGGACTAACTCAATCTCGCATTTCATTCCAGTGAAAACCCGTTATTTTAGCATTCCGGATGGATCGATATGTTAAAGAGAGATGTAGAGGAGAACCTAATAAGCTATGCCGAGCTCGCACACTCGTTCAGTCTAACGAAAGAGCCAAAACCTTTGGTAGTGAATAATATAGCACCACACTGAATGAATGCGGCTACAATAGCACTCTCAACCAATGATGGTGTACGGCTCCTACCCAGGTCTGGTGAGTCTTAAACGGGGCCCATAAGCATCTAAAAACGAAGATATTTGTGGTGTTTTGGGGGCTATGGGGATATCATAAAGGGTTAAATTTTTCTCTTTAAACAAAACGACGGTCATCCTATGGGGAGTGAAAACATGTCTCCGAAAGCCTCAATATGGTCGGTTTGGGTGTCTTGGATTTCGACGGATCACACGAAATGCTCTTATACGACCAGGCTTCTCAAATAGCCTCTACTGAGGAAGCCCTGCTCATTGTCTTCTCGTGGTGGTTTTCTTCCATCAAAGTGAAAGGACGAAAAGCCAACACACACAGTGCTATGACCAAGTCGGTGAACCATTGGCATTTAATCTAGAGGATTTGGCCAAAAATCTCTGATTCCAAACCAGCGTACGAACTACGAGCAAACACACGTTCCTGGTTTTGCCGGTGGTCATCGACTCAACTGGACATTGAGGTGTACTGGGTGTCTCGGGTATTTGACCCAATCCAAATGACGTACGATAAAAGAAAAACTGGCTACCTGCCCCGATACCTTGCGGGTCAGGCTTTGGCTAACCGGTTGTGAATTTCCCGAAAGAATTTATCTGCCTTGGTCTAGGCAACCTGGCAGTATCCCGCGAGCATGCATATTATTGAACTTTTTATACCGTGATTTGTTTGGCACACAGCCTGGATTCAGACATGAAATACAGGAATACAGTTCGAAGCATATTCCGAGAACAAGCTCTGGACGTCATGAACCCAATTGGTTCAGCCAGGGAACAGTAACGCTGTTCCAATGACCACAATAAATTATCATAATTTTGACGAGGAAAACATTCACGAATATACGCACGGAAAAAGCTAGAACCGGGTCTCGGTTTTTTCTTCGTTTTGCGCAGTTGCATATCAAATAAACTGTCAACCAGATATGTGACACAGAAAAGAACTTGGGGACGATTGAAGAAAGGCTAACGCGAACATGGAAAATATGTAACGAATCAAGTGAATAGTAGCACAGGGATTCTACTATTCGGATACAACGAGCTCGGGTCGATGGTATTGACTTCCCACAGTAACAATCTATTCTGACCTGGTTGTACACTGTAGTGTTTCCCATGGTTGTTCAACCTCGTGAACTTTTGGCCGCTGTATCGATTGGTTTACTGATTACCCCAAACGGAACCAAACTGACCTTTTACCGATCAGCAAATTGTTGCGACCGCACATTCATCAATGGGAAACAATCAAGGCAAGACACGTGGGACAGGGCAGGTCAGTAGCAAAGACCACAGAGTAGAAAAAGCCTCAGTTGAAAACTAAGTCTGCGCGTCGGTGTGTTTGTGTGAGTATCTGTAAATGCCCCGAACAGCAGCGAATCCGAACAATCATATTGTCAATCTAATCCATCGTTACTTTGAGGGCGCATTATCTGGTGCCGACTGAGGCGAAAAAACGATGAGCGAGGGTCAAGAACGGTGCGAGAACATTGAATACCCATGAGAAACACCGTACCACGATTTATGTTGTCGCATTTGCTAGTCCGTTGGGGTTGCGCAAAAGAATGTGATTGGCAATTTCTTACAACGGTCAAAAATGAACCAGACCGCCAGCAGCGAATTACTGTGTTGAAAAACTGCAACCACGGACCGTTCCATCCTGTGCGCTACTGATAATTTTGACGATATGTTCCAAATAAGACGTCTTCTTGTATATATGCTAATTTATCCATACTATTGTTCATAATCAACAATTCTTCTCAAGCCAGCGCTGGTCCTTTGGAAGTATAACGCTTGTGGGTGGACTTCAATCGACTGAAAGTAGTCTGGTCCGGTTGACAAAAATGGGTGAGCGGCCAATAAAAAAGCTTTTATCCACCATGAAGCTTTCCCGGTTCACTGCGATAGATCTGGCTCTACAAACTCCCGGAAAAAGATAGTCAGCAGACACAACATTAACAAGTTCCCAAACCCACACAACCAGCAACAGTTGTAAGTTGCAAGCAATATATTCCCCATAGGATGGTGGACACTATAAATTTTATTACTCCGGCTGATTGCAATTAATGGTTACCTCCCCAGTCACACGATCCTGGCCATCTGAACAAGGATGGTTCATCTTTGGGCAAGGGGGAGACACCAGCTAACAAGTGTGCACGTGTGACAGCCTGGTACTGAACATGACCTTCAGCTACGGAAACGCATCGATACACACGGACTTCGAGTGGTTTTTCACAACCCCGTAAATCGCGATAACGATTGCAAAACCGGTTGTAGGTGTCCAAGAGAATGTTGTACTATCATTCATTCATTCATTCAGGGTGCATGCATGTACCATCAAGGTCAGATCCCCATTCAGTTACGCAGAACCTGTAATGCTGAACTACGTAATAGACCCCAAAGAAGAGGTGTCATTGTGCGGGGTGGGGGCACAGAAGCTTATTGGGAAAGAGTAATTGTAAACGAAGCAATGAGCAACATCGGTGAATTTAAAATAGCTTACAGTACAGAATGGGGGGGGTCAGATATTTTCAGAAACAAAAATGTGGAGGATTGCAAATGGTAACCAAAAGCCGAGGAGTGCTGTCGTTTTCCATATCCGGAAGTTTGCTTCCAATAATTTATTATATTTCACACACGTCTAAGTTCAGACTGTGAGCCAAACACATCACGGTACAAAGAAGTTCCAAGATTTGCTTATGAGCACAATACTGCCAGGTTGCAGCTTCCAGGATTCTTTACTTTTATAAAATAAATAAACGTTTCCACACATATGCCCTAAAAGAAACGCTCAATCCATTCGGGAAAGGAAATTACAATAATTGTTGTCTGGACCGTGAACTGATCGGTGGTCTTGGTTGGATTCAAACTCGAGTGACAAACCAGAATAAAAGTATGATCACTAAATCCGCACTGTCCAAACAATACCAAAAAGACACAATCCCATATAACGTACACAAATGAAACAGACACGGAATACTAGAAACATGCGACAAAGCGGTCTATGTACCTGACGAGTGTTTGCATTTTCCAACTTAGTGGTCAAATCCGGTAACAATTTGTAGTCCGGATAGAAAAACGAGATGTATGGCGTGTAGGGCAAGTCCACAGATATGCTGTTCTCCTGATCCAGAAGCACGGCAGTCTCGTATGCCCAGCATCTAGCCACGTTGCGAACAGTGTATCCACCCCCGCCCAGCACGAGCAGTGGCAGTCCCAGTTCTTTGACCATTTTCACGCATGCTCTGTGATAAACGAGGGTGCGAGCAAATATGGATGACGGGAATTCGAACTCAACACACGAAGGCACCATTCGGAATCAGAAAAAAACAATGAACCTACTATCCTAATCAGTGCCAGGCCGTCACAACGATCAGTCAACANAATAGCATTCTACGACTGTGAACTGTGAAGATGTGATGAAAGGAAAATAGGGAAAACATAGAACAGAGAAAACGAATGAAAGAATCAACTTTTTTTCTGTTAGTTTCACTGTGTAAATCTTGGGGTTGTGAACCCGTCTGACGGACTACAGGATGAGGAATGAACCGTGACAACACCGAAGTCTGTGGTGGAGTTCCACGTGATTGTCTAATTTCTCGAAAATAGATGTCACAAAGGTCTAATGATAGCACTGTAACGTGTGGGAGTAAGGTTCAGATGCTATTTGTGGCACGGACCAGATAAAAACACCGCTCCGTGCCTAAAGTGGTGGGAGTTAAACGGCTTAAGTAGTTTTTAGTAACACGCACTGGGTTCCAAGGTATGAGACTCCAAGCTTGTAACTGACACCCAGCTTTGGTGGTAGGCAGGTTCGTTGTCCTCTGGTCGAATGCAATTTCCAATGAGGCATCATAAAAGTTGCTACTTCGTCTCAGAATTTGGGTCACCCGTCCTTACAAGCGAACCGCATATTCCAGAAAACACGGGGTTTTTACCCTCTCACTGTTCACCACATCGAGCTACAGAATAAAGAAAAATAAAGTTCTCCTGAATATTCCGAAAACTGTGGGAGTATATCCATGGTCATTGGTAAATAGAAAGTGGCTTCGATACAGTTACCATATGGGGCATTCAAACAAAGACAGTGGTAACCAGGAAGCCCATCCATACGAAACTAGCACAAGAATGCTTAAAGATCACTGTACGATCAATCCTTATCCGAAACATAGTCTCAACAAAAGTGAAAAAATTACTGGCTACAAAAACAAACACCTTCCTGAACCTGAGCCTCACGATGATGACCGACCACGTTAAAAAAAATCGGTGACATCTCGAATGAAGACAGGTCCACATACTCAAACCGACAAATATTCGAACAATAACGAACATTTTTCCGTGAAGACAATTATTGACGCAGAACGTTCATTCTCTAGCTTTGGCTGTTGCGTTACACCTAACATTTTGATGAATAAATAACACCAGTGCGCAGGTACCGGAAAGCCCGCTGCTTATGAAACGAAACCAAATCACTTGTTTCAAACCATCTATTGGGTTTACCTCGGAATAAATAATGAGGCACAGTGAACAGATAACCAAATGCTGAACTTCAAACTACCCATCTGAATTATTTAACTTCATTCGAATACAATCAAGCAGTCATGAATGGTAAAAGCTAGCGATCATAGCGGGCCGATCTCTGAAGGCGGTTGCGTACCACACGTACTCGCCTAAACAAACGCTATGCATGGAAGGCTCGATAATTTCAAAAACCAAAGGAACACTGGCATGATTTGGGACAACAGTTCACCTAATCGTCATTCGAACCAGAATCAAAAAAGTTGTAACTATGTACAGTTTCCCCAGGGGGATAGAACAGAAACGCATTTTTTACCCACGAATGAAGAACTGTAGAACTCACCCATGTCCTTTGATGGACAGGTTGAATACGCCTAAACGGTCACAGCCCAGAGAATCGGCACCACACTGGAGAACTATTGCAGTCGGTCGATACAAATTGACCACATCGTTGATGACCGAACGGAAGATATTGATATACACTGAGCGAACAGGGAACAACACAAGCGGTACAGTGATGCAAAAGAATATCTGTAGATGATACATACAATAAAGTCGAGTGTACAATAACAATCAGTGAACTTAACTGAGCCAGTAATAGACTTCCAGATATGAGCGAATATACGAATCTCATTCATTGATGTGACATACGTAATGCAAACAGTTCTCTCGTTATCGTTGCAATCCATCACACTGGTCTCCTTGTCGTTTCACAACACTGCCACAAAAAAAACAGCTGTATGGTAAAATAAATCCAGTGATCGTGTTTTATCAGAGGTGAATGGGAGAAGGAAATAAAATGGCCAAACCCAACAGACACTAGTAGTGAGGGTAATTCATGAAGACTGTGTGTGGGGGGCGCCGGCGGCGTACGATACAGGACGCGTTTCATGTTGGGGAAAGAACGGTTACTTTAATGCTTAACTCATCATTGGGGGATAGATATTGTCTCATTAGATTAACGCTTATAGCGTTTTGATACAATTTTGAAGGACTAGATGATGTATTTCACCTATCAGTGGATCGACCTGTGACAAGAAAACATGGGGAATTATCATCATCAACGTACGGCAAAACAAAACGAAGCGCACTTCACTGATTTCTGCCAAACTCGCAATGCCTACAAAGTTAGCGAGAATATGTGAGGTGGGTGGGGATTAGGTCCGTTCTCAGGGGGGAGGGAAGTGTCTTCACGATCAACACGCAGTTTCAGTTTTTACAACCCTTAACCATACACTTTCGTGCGCCGGTTTTGGTTGCCCATTTGGATAAAAGAGCGAAATGAAGATTGGAATGTCGAAGCAAATTCAAGCGGAAGATGGGGAATATACATAGAGTGGTGCTAGGAAAATAACGAGTGGATGCATAAGCGCCAATGGTTGCGACATCCAGCCATATCACTCAGTGTCTCTAACCATCGGTGACCATCATCCCGAGATCCCCAGCCAGGGAGCCTAACAGGGACTATGTGACCTAGTCTCCTGGTTAGGGTTTTCATACCCTCATGCCAGGTCTTAGCTTGACCACCCTTTGTTTTTTTTCCAATCGCTACCAGCCTTGGCAAACATCGTTCGCCCTGGCAACCTATCTGGTGACATGCGTAGCACATGTCCCAGCTAGCGTAATCTATGGAGGTCGATCACTTGTTCCAGTGGACGACTGCGACTGCCTAAAACTCTACGTCTAACCTCAGCATTGCTAGTCCGGTTACCCCACCAGACACGTGCAATGCGAGGTAGACAGCGGTGTTCGAACACCGACAATCTATTTTTATCCTGTTCCCTTAGTGGCCAAGTCTCTGCATCGTAGAGCAGGACCGGTCGAACTGCTGCAGCATACACTTGACCCTTCACAGACAGCCGGATGTCGCGACGGCGCCACAAATGTCTCAAGTTGGCAAATGCCAATCGAGCCTTTTGTATGCGCGCTGACACTTCATCTGTGATGCGTCCGCCGGGTGAGATATAGCTGCCTAGATAGCAAAATTTGTCTACCTCCGCTACTACTTCCCCTGTTAGGGTGAGACTGGGCGCTGGATCAACCCAATCTTGTAGTAGCATTTTACACATTGAAGGTTAACCTCAGCATTGCTAGTCCGGTTACCCCACCAGACACGTGCAATGCGAGGTAGACAGCGGTGTTCGAACACCGACAATCTATTTTTATCCTGTTCCCTTAGTGGCCAAGTCTCTGCATCGTAGAGCAGGACCGGTCGAACTGCTGCAGCATACACTTGACCCTTCACAGACAGCCGGATGTCGCGACGGCGCCACAAATGTCTCAAGTTGGCAAATGCCAATCGAGCCTTTTGTATGCGCGCTGACACTTCATCTGTGATGCGTCCGCCGGGTGAGATATAGCTGCCTAGATAGCAAAATTTGTCTACCTCCGCTACTACTTCCCCTGTTAGGGTGAGACTGGGCGCTGGATCAACCCAATCTTGTAGTAGCATTTTACACATTGAAGGTGCAAAACGCATACCGAACATGGCAACACTAGCACTCAAACTATCCAGAAAAGCTCGCAACTTAACTGGATCGTCACTTAGTAGCACAATGTCATCTGCATACTCTAGATCAGACAGTCTGCCACCAGGAAGTAAATCGATACCGCTATCCCTGCACGAGGATAGGGCTGTTTCAAGAATTAAATCTATGACAAAGTTAAATAAAAAAGGAGAGAAGGCAACCCTATTGAACACCACTTTCCGTGGTGAACTCGGGTGAAAAAGTGCCGTAAGCTCGAACTCGCCTTCGGCTAATATTGTAGAGGGGTTGTAATATTGAAATAAACTTCTCGGGCACTCTCTTCAAGGAAAGGCAGTGCCAGAGTTTAGAGCGGTCGACTGAGTCGAAAGCCGCTTTTAGATCGAGGAAAATAAAAATGGTGGGTCTATGAAAGGAGTGTCTATGTACGATCAACACGCGGAGACCACTGGTTGTGCATACACATATTTTCAAACACTCCAACTTGAATTGACAATAAGACACCCCTGCTATCGGCTGCCAGCCATATCCTTCAGTGTCTCCCATTAAGCAGTTGCAGTTTCTTGGACTCCAACGTGGAGGGCAAGAGACTACCCAGTAGCTCTGCACATTTCTTCAGAAACGGCAGTGAATCTGACGCATAGATCGAGCGATTCTTCGCAACCTTTGATACTTGTGCTGTATGGGGCGAGGGAGAAACAATGAACATTTTTATTTGGTGTTAGAATGGAAGATCTACGACGAACACGCGTTGCAAAGACAGTGAGCAGATGCACCAGTGACACCATTTACGACACTAGCCATATCACTCAGTGTTTCTAATCATTGATTACGATGATTCCGATGTCCCAATACAAAAAGCTTATCGCAACCTACCCTTTTGCCAGGTTTTAGTTTGGCCAACTTTAGGCTTTCTTCCACCCACTACCTGCTTCGGCAAGCATTGCGTATCTATTTAGATGCATGCATAACGCAGGCCCAGCCAGCGTAATCTATGGAGATCTACCACTTGCGCCAGTGGTTATTTGAACCTCTGAACCAACCTCAGCATTGTTTGCCCGGTTTCGCCATCAGATTCGTGCAATGCTGCATAGACAGCGGTATTTGAATATAGACTGTCTATCTTTATACTGTTTTTGTAGTGGCCAAGTCTGTGCATCGTAAAGCAGCACTGGTCGAACTGCCGCAGCATAGACTCGGCCCTTCACTGAACCGGATATCGCAAAGGCACCAAAGATGTCTGAGGCTGGCAAATGGCAATTGAGCCTTCTGCAGGTGTGACGACACGTTGATCGTCCGAAAGGAGTGAGTATCTGGAATCCAAGGTAGCAGATCAACCACCTTTTAGGGTGAGTCCTGTAGACTTCTTCAGGCTATCACGGCGGAGGGTGGATACGAGAACTGACTCTGCAAAACTGAACAGAGCGGTGTACATGAGTATGCAGAGATAAGTTTGAACTACAACTATTAGTTTTGTTTGACAGCCAGTTGGACTAGATGAACATGTGAACGCTCATATCAATAGATTGGCTAGAGTTGTTCTGTATACGATGCGACAAGTGTCACTCCATTCATTCCATTTCTCATCTTCACTTTCTCCACTCCTTACAGTCCGCTTTGATTCTGTCAGCCCTTCAAAGGACAGTTGCTTTTTGACATTACCAGCACGGACTCTCATCAACCACGGAAGCGAGCATCCGGCAATAAACGGTGATAACTGACACTTGGTCAAATAGTGAAGCACTCGCCTTCCCATATACTCTATCGAGGTAGAATGATCACCAGTACATATCGTTTTCTGGCTCGAGTCCGTACATTTGAGCCGCAAAGCGGATCATCCAGATTGGCTGGAATGGTTGGTTTCCTATTATTCTAATCCGCAATTCGCGAACAAGCACATACACTACAACGAACAGACTTACTTTCATCATCGATACCCTCTTTGAGGGGGATATTGATGGAGTAATACTTGCCGGCCTTTGCACCTACTTCGTACATATCACCTGCAAAAGACAGCGAGAGAAAATCAAACGAGATAAGATGTAGTAAAGGGTGTAAAACATGCATTTAATTATTTGACCCGGGGTTTCACCCCCGGGTCAAACAGACAAACCCATAAAAGAGTGCAGTCCGTGAACGGTTCTGGGGCAACTAGTCGAAATCCTGAGTCATTCTGCTCATCTGGTTGGACGCCTCTGATGGTTATTTAGATAGTGCATCAACCATGAGGAGTCTCCAACTCTTATTCTCTGGAATTCTTGTATAGCAAAGTTTAACGCTCTGCGGGGAGAGAAGACAGCCGCTAACTTCTAAAAGCCTCCGACAAGCCTCAGTATGGTTGGAGGTGGGTGTCTGGGGTTTCGGCTGGTCACTCTTACCTTGCACCTCCCGAAATGCTCCCATACGACCAAGCGTCTCAAATAGCCACTGCTGAGGAAGCTCGTGGCGGTGTTTGCCCAACAAAGTGACATTTGACCTCGTCTAAGGGGCATATGATAGAAGTAAACAGTCCTCAATGGCTCGTATTTTCACACACAAAACACACTTTCTTGCGGGTTAGGCTGTGGTCTACATCCGGGGTTACAACCAGGTTGGTGGACCACTGGTGGTTCACCTAGGGGAGTTGGCTGAAAACCCTGATTCCAAACCAACCAAGAGGAGGCGTACGAACCGCACACACAACTTCCTAGTTGTGGCAGTGGTCAGCGGCTCGATTAGGCATCAAGATGGATTAGGCACCTTGGACGTTTGACCCCGTCCAAAGGGCATATGATCCGATGAACTAGACACTGGCTCCCAATTGTTTGCGGTTTTCGCACACCGCCCCGCTGCCTTGCGGGTCAGGCTTTGGCTAACCGAAGACTGCGGTTATGGATTCCTCAAGAAAATTCACCTGCCTTGGCCTAGGCAACCTGGCAGTATTTAGCCCAGAAGCCAATCATGGAAAGTTTTTCCTTTTATAAAGATTATTGTACCATGATTTGCTTGGCACACAGTCTGTCCTCACACAAGTGTAAAATATATAATATATATGTATGGCTAGCCGAAGATTTCCCAAGAAGAGTCACCTACTTTCGCCTGAGAAACCTAGCAGTATTCCGAATACACACAGACCATGGAACATTCTAGTTTCGTAAACATTGTTGTACCATGATTTGTTTGGCACACAGTCTGGCTTCAGACGTGTGATGTGTACATACATTCCGGAAGTAATCGGTATTGCTGAGGCAAGAAGGACCAATTCATTTCAACACGTAACATAAACTCTTTGGACATCCCCAATTGGCTGGAGCTGATTCTGCGCCACTGTGTTATCAGTGATTTGGAATATCACTGTCAATTGACGCATCCAGCCCATCGGACTAAAAATGCTCCGAAAGTCATAGCGCACTGTTTTTTTACCTAGACTGAACACTTCTCCTATCACTGTCGACCTGCCTTTATTCGGTCTTCTCCTCAATTTGTTTACCAACTTCAGCTGCGACCGTTGTTTGATGGTGTATACTTGCGTAACTCGAGAACTGAACAGAATGTGAAGGTTTTGTCTACGCAACCGTGAACTGGTCGGAATTCCGCTTGTTGTTCATGAATATTTGATTCCCTTAAGGGCGTCAAACGTCAAGGTGTGACGATAGCTAAAACGGTGGTGACGAATGGGATGAAAATTATCCCGCGATGGTTCGTGCAATCATTGCGAGATCTCTTTTGAAAAAAATGAGAACGATCAGTGAATTCAACCAAGATGATGAAATGCGCTCTTGCGACCAAATGTTTTTTTTATTACAAGCTAGTAAGATGAATAGCAGACGGGTTGGATCCCATAGTGATGGAAACAGGTGACCTCAGACGCCAGACTTGGAGTTACGAACCACATAGGGCACTGCTAGATTAGACGTAGTATTGAACCGGACGAAAGCGAAGTTGCCTAAGAAGCAAGCAGGAACAGATTCCACGGTTATCACATACCATTCTGAAGAGCATGAGCCCGTCAGGCCCTGCCGCTTCTCGTTTCGATGGAAGCCAGTTGCATTAAGTCTTTACCTGTCCTACGCAACGGTCAAAATGATTGCTGAATGTGACTCAATGTGGTGTCAAACTCCTTAATTACCTCGCTTACGCCTTATTTCTGTAGGTCCATATCTCTAATCAGACGGAAAGGATTGCGACTGTTATCTACAGCCAAAGCCTCTACCATCTCTTTACTCTTTGCTACCGGCAGTTTCGTGATCTTTCCTCGGGTTCTGGGTGAGTGTAGTCATATTTCACATGCGGATGAATGGATCTGCGAGCGTTTAGAAAAACAGCAGAGGCGGGAGATCCATCATTTGATGCTACATCAGAAACCAAAATTCATCGTTGTTTTGATCGACATTTGTTTCGATGAAAAACAACAAAACATTCTTTAGGAATTTAGGTCCATAGTTCAGCAATATCACAAAAACATACATTAATACGTACAGGGTAGTAAATGTGTCTAATCTGTTATCAAGAAATTATACAAAAGCCAAGTGACATGAAACACATCACCTCAAGCTTACCTGTTCCGGGAAAGAACAAATTCCCATAACGATGAAACGAGACGGTCATGACACGATCAGTAAGGTAGAAAGCTTCCTGTACACCATCCCCGTGATGTACATCGATATCAATGTATAGTACTCGTGGATGGTACCTTTATAGATATATAAGTTTATAAATTAGTTCATTGGCACTTACTTTAACAGTTCCAAAATAGCTATGACAATGTCGTTGACGTAACAAAAGCCAGAAGCCTATTTATAGTTTTACAGAATAACAGAGCACTAATTGGTGATCCTACCTCAAACTTTTTGGCATGATGTAGACCTCCAGACCAGTTGATCGCAATATCGGTAACCTGAAGTGACGGTACGTGAATCCTTATTTGGAGAAAGAAAACTCACATCATTGTTCAGGTATTTGGCGGCTTGAAGAGAAGCTCCTGTATACATGGAACAGAACTGATAGATTCCGTCAAAGATGGGACTGTAAAAGATTATAATTAATACCAAAACCAGAAATCATATAAACTAACCAATCTTCACCAATGTTATAGGTGAGGAGCTTTTCTTTGGGAAATGTATGCACATTGTTTGGCGTGACGTCCCGTAAAAATTCCACATATTCTTGCGAATGAAAAGTAACCATATCATTCATGCTGGCCCTATAAGGTTTATATACCTGCATGGAGAACAGCGGTTTAACGAAAAACGGCATATGCTAACCTTCATGTGATCGGTCAAGTCGTAACTCACAACAAGCGTATGTGTCAGAGCTAACCGGTGCGGTTTCATTGGGTGATTGGGACCTAAAGATCAGAGTGGGGAACAATAGAAAACTTACCATAGTGAAAATTGGCACAATCCGGGTCGTAGAAATATGCCACTCGTCTACTTCGTCCCATGGTGATTAGGTGGGGAAGGAAGAATGAGCCTTTGCAAATACGGCTCCAACTAGATGCTTAGTGGAAGCCGGAGACTAGAAGAGAAAATCAAGAATTATAGAGCAAGAGAACTAGTAAGTTTACACGGAAATGTTGTAACTATGAATTTCCTTAGCCTCCGAAAGTTCCAAATGGTCGGGTGTTTGCGTGGGTGTTACATGCTATAAATGGTCACCCTTTGGGCTTAGCGAACTACGACCAAACTTCTCGAATAGCCACTGCTGAGGAAGGTCTACTCACTTCCATCTCACGACAGAAATGTTTCCTTACCGAAGTGAGAAGACAAAAAGCCAGCATCCGAGCTTTAACCAGGTCTATGTCGACGGTTCATATGAACCGTTGGCAGTTTATCTAGAGGTGAATAAAAGCTCTGATTCCAGACTAACTAAGGAGAGGTGTAGGAATCACAATGCACACACAAAATAAAAATAATTCCATACTGTATCGGTCGTCGCGCAGTATAATCAGGACCGCGCTGCCCATTGCATTGAGCGGGATGGGTAGTGATAAATGGGCTACTGCTCAAATTTCCCAACCTTTGTTTATTTCTGTCTTCAGCATCCAGCCCTCTCCGTTTGTCCTTCCTTCCAACCTCCAATAGTTCCTCTGGCAACATGGATGTCGCTCACCAAAGGTCGTTGTCAAATAGCACTGTAAGTATTGTACCATGAAGTGAATTATAGATTCTAAAGCCTCGCCAATCACTTAATCTGGGGGCCTTTAACGTGAGAACTTTGATGCAGCTAGGTCAACAAGCTTGTCTGGCTCGTACAATGAAATCCTTAGGAATCGACATTTGCTGCGTGTCGGAAAATCGAATCCAGGATTCTACTACTATAAGCCACTTGAACGCGCACATCATGCGACGACGAAGCTCGTTCATTAGGTCAGAGCGGAGTAGGTATTGTACTCAGTAACAGGGGGGAGTACTCTCTTACCGACTGAATCCCCGTCATCAGTCGTTTATGTGCAGTGCGCCTCCTGGTTTCAATCAGCGTCCGGAAGGGAAACAACACCAAAGGGTGTTTGTTCATCGAATCGGCATATGCACCAACCAATTGCAGTTCTGATACTCAAAAGGACGATTTCTACGATGAACTCATCGATCTCTTTCGGATGAGTCGCAGATCCCACATAGTTGTACTGGCAGGTGACTTTAACGCGCAATTTGGAAAACTGAGCTCATCACAAGCTTGTCTAGGCGGAAGTTGTGCTCTACCCTGCCAACGAACAGATAACGGTGATCGATTTCTTCAGTTCTGCGCAGACCATCATCTGTTCCTATCTAGCACTTCCAACACAGCTCTCGGCGGACGGAAATGTGGCGCTCCAGTTCAACTGGTACGCTAACTCAAATCGACCACATACCATTGACGTGGCTCAGTGCAAAATTGCAGGTCCTATTGGACTACCTGCGTTGAGTCTGACCATGCACTAGTTTTAATGCAGTTCACTCTCCGACTGACTGGTCGGCGACGAATTCAGTGAACTCGTATAGCTCATCATCGACTATTTGTTTCAGCAGTTCGTTTGCGCTATGAATCAGATTTAGTGCGTGGACTAAGCGCATCTCAGCGTTGTGATGTAGATGAGCAGTGGGATCAGATTAGGCGAACAATGCATTCCGCAGCGAATGTTACTTGTGGGTCTGAGACTCAATCCCATCGGAGGCATTGGGTATCTCAGGAGTCAGTAGCTCTGATGGAGAAAAACGACAAGTCCCGACCTGTCAGGATTAAAATAGGGTTAGGTGGTATCTACAACGTCAGCTCACGAAGAGTCCCAAGAGGGACCGTGAGAACTGGTGGGCAACAATAGCTAGTAAAATGTATGAGGCAGCTGAGTCAGGGAATAGTCAGACTGTTCTGACCGATACGCAAAACGGGAGGTAGGCGAACTGCGGTTAGTGAATCAGTCCGTGATAAGATGGAAGAAGCTATTCACAATAGGAATGAATGACTTGATCGCTGAGCGGAATACTTGGGCGAACAGTTCAGCTGGCTGCTAACAAGGTTGCCTCATCTGCAACCGAAGCTGCTTGAGCAGTGTCGTTCGATCCTCCAACGGAAGCAGAAGTTCGGTCTTGCATTCAGGCTCTGAAACAAGAAAAGACAGCAGGACCAGATGAGCTCCCTCCCAGTCTTACTGCGCAACATTTGGACGCAAGAGCGTAGTCCTTCATCGCGAGGCGAATCACTGATCGTTTACATCTTCAAGAAAGGATGTCGCAACGACTGCGGGAATCACCGCGGGATCAGTTTGATCCCGATCGTCACCAAAGTACTAGCGTCGGTCATATTTCGACGTCTGACTCCTTTAAGAGAGATCAACATCCGTGAACAGCAACCCGGGATTCCGACCTGGCCGTGGATGTACTGATAAAATTTTTACATCGCGGCAGGTTCTTGAGCTTCAGGTCGCGGATAGAAGGGCCACCTCGGTGGTTAACCGTGAATAGGTGGGGCTCCCTCACTGAATAATCGGTCGCGGATGATCAGCAGCGATGCTAGAGGATGTGGTTTCGGCTGGCAACCGATATCCCGTTCAAATGCCATACGTGTGTGCTGACAGCATTGTGACGTGCATGAATGTGGCCCGCGACCAAATAAGGCCATTGTTACTGGCCTATTCTTACGAATAGGACAAACTGAGGAATGCTACCTCACGGACAGATTGGGAATCCTGGACTGGCGCAGAGCCATCCAAAAGTCGTATGAACCGTTCTAACGGTCACCGGTTACCAACAATTCTACCTTGTTACCCTGCAGGTCACACTTGGTTGTGCAAGGGTTAGAGGTGCACCCTCGAATAAAAGCCAAGCGACGCTGGGGACGTCACTTAGTACCTCATTCCCAAGTGTCTCCATGGATCATCTCACAATGGTACATCACGTTCATGCTACGGCGTTCCCGGGAAGCCACGCGCCCTGCGCTCCCCCAGTGGCTGGGGTGACAAATGAGCAAGCTGGGAACCTAAATCATCTATGCACCAGATCCAGCATCCATGTAGCCTGCTGGAATGTTAGAGTATTGCTAGACACAGGAAGCCAGTGTATCACGATGCGTTCACTGCACGACATGGTAGACACCTGTTGTCTGTCCGAAGTCCGACTACCTAACTGTGGCACAAAACTAATCAATTTACCACATAGCAATGCAACATACAGCGGCCCAACGGACAACTCCGGTCTGTACGGGGTAGCAATCGCCGTGAGTGGCCGGGCCAACAATGCCATGATCTCCTGGGTACCAATCTCTCCTAGGATTGTCATAGCGCACTTCAGGGGAAGACCGTTTAACCTGACAGTCATCGCTATATATGCTCCAACGTTACATGCGGAAGAGCCCATCACAGACGACTTCTACAACCAAGTTCAAGACGCAGTGAACCGTAGTCCGAGGCACGACATCCTCGTTATCGCAGGGGAATGGAACGCACGCACTGGTCCATCAAACGAACATACTCGGCATGTTCTGGGAATGTTCGGCCTTGGTTAATGTTGCAAAAATGGCGAACGCCTAGTCACA